ATCCCTTCTGCACTGCGCCATTCCAAACGTTGTGAACATGCTTTTAATAAGGAGTGTGGGGCTCGAGGTTGGGAAATTGTGTTTACGTGAACACCTATCTCCAAATCTGCATGCTCCTGTTTTACTGTAGAATGGACAATTGGCTCGATCTTTCTCCATTATCCTTAAGTCCATGGGTGGCTCTGGGTTTTGCCATGTGGCACCATTTTCCAACTCATTTTCAGCCTGCTCCAGCATCTTCTGCACAGCTTCCTCTCTTTCTCTCTTCTCCTGTAGTTTCTGTTCCTCCTCTTCTCTCTCCTTTCTCTGCTGCTCTTCCCATTCTTCCTTTAATTTTCTCTCTTGTTCTTCCTGCTGTTTTCTAGCTGCCTCTTCCTTTTCCCTCTTTCTTCTGAATTCTTCTTGTGCCTTCTGCTCCCGAAGTAACGACGCCTCATGTAATTTTTGCCTCTCTATCTCCAACAGCTTCTCTTCTTCTAGGTGTTGTTCTTCAATAAAAGCATCCTCCTCCTCCTTCTGTGAGAGTCCTGAGTCTCTCAGTCGAGCCAGTTCCTGCCGTCGTTTCTTTCGTTTCGCCTTCTTCAGGGCGGCCCTGTACTTTTTGTGGCTCGGTTTCTCCGGAAACATCATCTTCTCAGGCGCCGCCATCTTGCCAGGGCCGCCACGCCCCTGGAAGGGGAAGATTTTTAAAAAAGAAGTGGTGTCAAACCTGCCACTAGTTCCTCTAACTTAATAACATGTTTGGGATCTGTCAACCTTCGTGTGTGGGGTACACAGACATCTTCAGTGGGGGTGCACTTGCCTTCTGATAAGGACAATTTTCAGGTGGTCAGGACTGCATTGTTCTTTGTTGGAAGTTAAGCATTCCGGACACCCTCCCACCCTCCGCCACCGTTCCCCTCCCCACTGCCCCCCCACCCCCCCACTCCCCCACCCCTCCACTCCCCCCCTACCCCGCACAAATGCTGGTAGCACTTGACCCCTTGCCCTCATTCCTTGCCCTCATCAACAAAATGCTCTCAATGCCTTTTCACCTTCAGTTAACTTCTTACATAATCTTTTTCTATGAGCTCTCCACTTTGTTGATGGTAGATATTTAGGATGGCTCCAAATACTTCTCACCAACAACTCTGCAGTAAACACCTTTGTTCCTATTTCCTTCAGCTTACTTTTGAGTGTTTCACCAGGCAGACTCTAGAACAGGAATCGCTGGTCACATGCACCTGTTCAGCCCACATGTGCTAGATTACCCTCCAACCTTCTACCCTTACCAATAGTGGATGGTAATACCCATGGCCCTGTATTCTTCAATACTTAATACTGTCTAGTTCTTCAAGGTTAGCCACTCTGGCAAGTAAAGAAAATATCACATTGTTGTCTTAATTTGCATTTCTGATTAGTATTGAAACTATTTATAATTCGTATTTCCTCTTTTAAGAAAGACTTTGACTTTCTCTTCTGTATGTGTACATATTTTAATTTTTACTACATATGATTTCAGAAAAAATAATACACAATTTACCAAATAACTTATGTGTCCTTCAAGGCCTACTCAGATATTGGCTCATTCAAACAACAGTCTTGATCTTTCTTCCTGGAGCCATTCTCTTGGTCGTAGTTTGCAAAGTACTTGTCTTACCCTCCCGACTAGATTAATGGAGACTAGACTGGGGCTTTTCCATTTTTATTCCCTTTGACCTGCCTAGTATATGCCTTGTGTAATGTCTGGCACAGATTTGAAGCTTAATAAATAAAGATTGGAATGATAAAAAGTAGAGAAGGTTGATTATGAGAAAACTATCAACTTTATTCTATTTTCAGCCTTTAGCTCTTTGTGGACGTGGTCTTAAATGATCCTTACCAAAAGTGGATATAGTCCTATAAAGGACATGTAATGTTATTTGGATCTAGAGTCACTTTCCCGGAAGATATGTTCATCAAAATTTCTAGGAAAGGAATACTTAGCTCAACCAAAAGAGGAAGGTCAGATGTTTGTGGAAGAGAACTTTGGGGAATGAGGATCCCATTGCCCCAGAGACATCATGAAATGTAAGAGGCTGCCTGGCAGTCTCTGTCTTAGATTGGTCCAGGCCCAGGATCAGAAGAATTCTGTACATGTTTTCAACACAGACTTCAGGTCTCACTGAAAAAAATCCAAAAAAATGTCCAAACCCTTTATGTTTTAGAATTTCGTCAATCAAGTTTTATCACTTCAGATAAGTGATCTGTTGTCTCAAACTGAATCTTATGCCAAAGTGTTCATCTAAAAATTAATTATTGGCATAATGTATTTAAGGACTTGTGACCTTGTGGAGATTTCACTTATCAAAAAGAATTAGAATTTTGGTTGTAACCGAACCTGAAGTTTTTTGTAGCTTCCCTTTTTTTTTTAAAGATTTTATTTCTTTGACAGAGAGAGACACAGTGAGAGAGGGAACACAAGCAGGGGGAGTGGGAGAGGGAGAAGCAGGCTTCCCGCCGAGCAGGGATTCCCGACTCATGGCTGGATCCCAGGACCCTGGGATCATGACCTGAGCCAAAGGCAGACGCTTAATGACTGAACCACCCAGGCACCCCTGTAGCTTCATTTTTAATTCCTCCAATTGTCCTTTTTTTTATTGGGCATAACTGACATACAACATTGTATTAGTTTCAGGTTCCAATTGTCCTTTGAAAGCATTTTGTAATGAGAAGATTTGAACTTGTCTGACTCAGTTCAATGAAGGGGGTTGCTTGGCACGTAAACAACTTAGTCGGTGTTCTTATAAAAATGTTTCTCCTTGCCATTGCTTCCAGCCAGCAAATACATTTCTAATACAGAATGGGGGCATCTGTGCCTCACAGAGGAACTATGCTAAAGAAACACATATTGGGAAATGCAGTTTTAGAAAACAGATAGCTTGGAGACCTATGTAGAAACTTCCTTCCACAGATGGTCTTACGTGTATTGTTTATTATTAGGCTAAAGTTTCATGTCAGAGGGATGTCCCAGTAGACGCCAGGGTGGTTCATGAGAGCAGGAGCCCTCACCCTCAGAGTAGGGCTCTTCCTTGAAGTTCTTTTTTTTTTTTTTTTTAAAGATTTTATTTATTTATTTGAGAGAGAGAGAGAGCGAGTGAGCACAAGTCGGGGGGTTGCAGAGGGAGAGGGAGAAGTGGGCTCTCTGCTTAGAGGGAGAAGCGAGCTCCCGATTCGGGGCTCGATCCCAGGACCCTGAGATCATGACCTGAGCCGAAGGCAGACGCTTAACAACTGAGCCACCCAGGTGCCCCTCTTCCTTGAAGTTCTCATACACTATCCATACCTCTTCATTGGCTCTTTGATCACTGGCATAGTGTAGTTGCCTGTGTCCCCTTCTTCTCTGCTGCCCTGAGCTGGGGGGTCCCTTGCAGCAGTAACTGTCCCCAGGACCTAGCTTCCTGTTATCCCAAATAAATTCAAGGTAATAAAAAATTATATCTGTGCCACAAGAAAATCACACCACTGAGGGTGTATCACAAGTTATGGCTTTGTGGGTCTCGGTGGTTTTACGTAACAACTGCCATGTCCTGAGTTCTTCTGTTTGCCAGGCCTGTTTTGGCCATTTCGTGTGTGTTAATGTGTGCACTACTTACAACCGGCCTATGGGATATGGCTAGTGTGAATCCTGTTTTGGAAGTGAGAAAGCTGAGGCTCTGCCTGCTTATGTAACTTGCCCAAAGTTGTGCAGCTGGTAGAGGTGTCTGTCACCTGGATAGGACTCAGGCAAGCCAACTCCAGGGGCTGCAATCCCAACCCAGCACACTGGACCGCCTCTGGCGAGTCCTTAAAAAGACGTGAAAGATCTGTAATTAGGGGAAAGGAGCGAGGTGCAGATCAGTGTGCCTAGAATGCTCTTATTTCCACAGAATTAGGAGGTGGTAGGACGTACTAGAATGCCTTTAGATGCATAGATGTCTCTGAGGAGGAAACATGGGAAAATGGTTGACTTTGGTATCCTCTGGGGAAGAAAACAGGGGGACTGGGGATTCAGGGTGAGAACAAGGCTTTATCTTTACTGAGTCTTCTTTTTGAACTACTTGGGTTTTTTTTTTTTTCTTCTACCCTGGATCCGTGTTACTTTTTCTAAAACGAACTTTTTGCTAAAGCTATAGATCAATTTGAATCTCCTTGGGACTTCTCTGGCTCCTCAGATATTTGTCAGTTTGAAACACTATCTGATGGGGTTTACATGTCAGTATAAAACATCTGAATTCCTTGTGTTCAACTTCATCTCACTCATGACCGTGGCCTCCAGTGTAGTAGCTCAGTGGTTTTCCAACACTGCAAAGAGGGTGTGAGAAAGAGATCAAAAGAAAGAGAGAAAATTGGCCAAACCTTATTCTTACAGTTATTTTTGACTTGGACTTTGAAAAAAAAAATTGTTTACACAGTAACCTCGTATGTCTGTTTGCTAGGGCTGCCATGACAAAGTGCCACAAAATGGGCGGTTTCAACAGCAGAAAGGTATGGTCTCAAAGTTCTGGAGGATTGAAGCCAGAAAGCCAAGTATCAGTTCCTTCCAAGGGTTGTAATGGAGGGATCTGTTCCAGCCCTTTCTTCTTGACTTGGAGATGGCCGTCTTCATGTTCCTAGGGCATTTTCCCTGTTGGCAAGTCCGTCTCCAGATATGCCCTTTTTATAAGAAGACTGGATTAGGGCCCACCCTAAATGACCTCATTATGACTTGCTGAAAGCAACCCTATCTCCAAATAAGGTCTCATGCTGAGGTACTGGGAAAATTCAACATACGGATTTTCAGGACACAATTCAACCCATAACCCTCCTGTTCGCCAGTTCTCTCTACTCTCCTCTCAGTGTGGCCCAGAGAGTTCCTTGTCCTGATGTTTGGGCTGAGAGTTTGGTTTCTGGGCTACCTATGGTGGAGAATATTGCTGAGGTCATCTTGGAGAGGAAAACCAAGTGAAGGAAGAGTCACCTGCGGTGAGTCCCGAGTGAAAGTGTGGTTCTCTCCTTCCTAGGTGGTATCACGGCAACCTCACACGCCATGCAGCCGAGGCTCTTCTCCTCTCAAACGGATGTGACGGCAGCTACCTTCTGAGGGACAGCAATGAAAGGATCGGGCTGTACTCTCTCTCTGTGAGGTAGGTTGCTTACGAACTCTATGAATTCAGCATCGTCCCATCTCTTCCTTACCTGGCCATTGACTTTATCATCACACTCACATTGCCAGATAACAACATTCTTACATTGCCAGAAAAAGGTTCTCTTGACTCCTGGTAGACCTGCAGCTCTAAGGATTCCAAGCTCTGAATGGCAGACTGTAAGAAACATTCTTCCTCCTTCTCTCAGCAGGGAAGAAAATGTGAGAGCTGAAGGACACTTTATGAATTGTTTAATGTCTCGCTTGCCTGGTGGAGAAACTGAAACCCAAAGTGCTAAAGTGTCTTTGTACCCCATAAGTCCGAGACAGAAACAGCGCCGGAATCCAAATCCCTGAAAACTGGCCCAGTGCCCTTTTAATATTCCTCGCTTCCCCTGGAAAATCAGAATGATCTGTGACTGTGCAGCGTTCATAATCGCAAACTCAAGCAAGCAGTAGGGCAAATTTTAAGTTTTTTTCCCTATAAATGGCCCGACCTTTCTCCAAGTTCCACTTCCTCTGAATGTTAATGAAATTAATCCAGTCCCTGTGCAACCCAAACCTGTGATGGCCCAATCCTCCAGGATCTTTCTCCTCCCCTGCCTCCTCCTGGCTGGCCTCCTGATCAGGAAAGCTGACCTCCCCAGGTGATAACCAGGGGGAGGCGTTGGTTCTCGGTCAGCATCTGTGACCTTGGCTTCTGCGGGCATGTGGCAAGTCTTTCTGGGTTTATGGGACGTTGCCCTCTGCTTAGACTAGGGATGTGAGGACCCCATGAAATTGCCCTCAGGCACCCACTCGTTAACCTCATTAACCTCCAACCATTACCGTTTTGCTGTTGTTCTGGTGGCGCCTCCATATTCCCCTGAAAAGAGTCCCCTGGTGTTGCACCCGTCACGCTGATCCTGCATAAGGAGGTTTTTCCTATTCTTTTCTGCCCCACCTGGTCTAGGCCTCCTGGTCACTAACTCAGTAGCAACATCTACACTCCTTTCTCTCTGCATCCTCTTTTTCATCCAGTTTAGAGACCGTTTTTGTTCTGTTTTGTTTTTACTTCTCCTCTCCGTCAGAGAGGGGGAGAAACTGGCTTCAAAACATTTCCCTACATAATTGATGGCAGGAGTCTATGAGCTCAAAACCCAAGAATTAATTGTTTTTAATCTTCTCTTTGTGCTTCTGGACTTCTGTATTTTCTATGCCACTTAACAAATTCCCCCAAACTTAGTGGCTTTAAACAACTACATTGATTATCTCACAGATTCTGTGTGTCAGAAGCCCAGGCGGGCTCTCCAGTTTTTCTGCTCAGGTTCCTACCAGGCCGAAACTGAGGTGCTGGCTGAGGCTGGGGTTCAGCGGGGACTCTGAGTCCTCTTCTCTCATTCTCTTTTTTGCTCATTCATTTCCCGGCTGTAGGACTGAGCTCCCTGTTTTCCATCTAGCTATTGGCCAGGGACCAGGGTCAGCTTCTGGAATCCGCCCACAGCCCTCTGCCAAGTGGCCTCCACAGGCAGTCCACAGCGTAGACGTTAGCTTCCTTCTAGACCAGCGAGAACGTGTCTCTCTGATCTCCTCTCCTGCCAGCCAGAAAGAACTCTTTGCTTGTACCAAGACTCTCATGTGATTAAGTCGGGCCCACCCGGACAATCTCCCTATTGTCAGGTCGGCTAATGTGGAGCCTGAGTTATCTGCAAAATCCCTTCATAGCAGCATCTACACTAGCATTTTATTGAATAAATGGGAAAAGGTGGATGTAGTCTAGGGACTGAGAATCGGGGTCATGGTAGATGGCTGCCTGCCACACCTTCACTCCTGGGAGCAGAAGTGTAGAGGCCGACACTAAGGGCAGTGGGAGAGATCAGTGGGAGGGTGATGGGGGAAATAAGAGGGTCGCTGAGAAAACACACACACGTGGTAGCACACATTCATTAACATTTTTCATGTTACTCTGCTACATTTTGCTTAAGATTTTTCTAAATAACATTTAGGGAAAAGTATTAATCAGACATGAAATTCTGCTTGGGTAGAAGCAGGAATGGTGCTTTCCCTGATAGATAGCAAAGGTGAAAATCTCATCAGGTGGTTAGGCTGCAAATCCTTTAATGCATAGATCTCCCCCGAATCACAAACAAACCCATGGAAGTATTGGATCAAAGAATGTTAACTTTTCACCTGTAGATGTCTCATCTGAACAATTAGATCAGAAGCTTTTTACAATTAGGTGGCATATATATATCACATCTGTACAAAATTGCAAAATATAACTCACTAATTTCCAAGACAAGCACTTGGAAATGCTGTTAGAAAAAAAAAAAATGTCCACCAGCAGAGGTGACAGGAACCATAGCCTGGATCAAAAGAACGGCTGATTTTACTCATTCGTTGGTTCACTTCCTTAACAGTAAGTATTAGAGAGCCTCCGCTCTATGCTGACTAAGTTGATGAGTGTGGTAGAAGATTCAGACTTTGCCCTGAGGAAGTAGAGCCTCACAGGGGCCGTGGGACGCTGCACAGGTAGCTCTCTACCAGGTAGAGTGCAGTAACCCACGGGAAAGAAAGCAAGATCTGTGCTTGGATGGCTGAGGAGAGCAAAGCAGGTAACTCAAGATGGAAGTATCATTCAGTGATGGTCAGAGTAGGTGGTATTTGAACTGACGCTTGATTGGAAACAAAAGGGATGATGTTGCAGGTGAAGGGAACTGTAAGAGCTGAGGGACAACGGTAGAAACTTCTAGAATTGTAGATCCACTTGAATTAGAGCAGCAGTTCTCAGGGTCCCCAGACCACCAGCATCACATGAGAACATGTTAAGGGTGCAAATTCCCGGGCCCCATACTTTGGAAGTACTGAATCAGGAATTCAGGGGGTAGGGCCTAGAAATCTGGGTTTTAACAAGCCCTCCAGGTGGTTGTGATTTCTGATGTGTGCTCAAGTTGGAGCAGGCCATTCATAGAGAAGAGAGGACTAGTGGGAGTCCAATAATATATATCTATGTATGTATATGTATATAAGTAATATATATAATTTATATATGACTATATGTACTTATAATTTATAATTTATTTAATGCTCTGCCTCATTCCAAAAGTGAGGTGGAAATGACATTGTAGGAAATTGAGTATTTTATTCAGTAGGCAGTGGAACCGGCATGGCAAGAAAAGGGCGGGGCTCACACAACTAATTAAGTGACAGAAGCAGAATTCAGACTGGCTCCCAAACAAGTAAGATTGAGAGAGAGAAGAGCCAAAAAGAAGTTGGGGAGGGTGCGACCTGCCATTTCTATCATCCCTATTCTCTGCGGGTCTTAAACACGTGTCCTTGAAGGGGGTTACCCTTCAAGGACCCTCTTGGTAAGTCAGAGAGTGCACAGGGAGAATTGTCTCTGGTCTTCCATTACAGTGAAAAGTTGAGAAGAGCTCTGCCCAAAAAAAAAAACAACCCACCAAAAAACTAGGGCTTTAAAAATGCCAGTGGTTTCAATAATTGTGTCGTAATTCTCAGTTTTTAGAAGGGTTTAATGGTGATGCTAGTATATATATCCCTTCTTCAAAAAAAGATATTCATTTGTTAAATAACCTTGAGTATTTCTTTTTCCCTTTCAGAGCCAAAGACTCTGTCAAACACTTTCATGTTGAATATACCGGATATTCATTTAAATTTGGCTTTAATGAATTCTCATCTTTGAAGGATTTTGTCAAGCATTTTGCAAATCAGCCTTTGATTGGAAGTGAGACAGGTAAGCAATGAACAGATAGATACTTCACCTAGGAGACATTGTTTCAGGATGGAGGAGGGACAGGGAGGATTTCATTAAGTAGCTGTCACTTCTGTTGAATTATGTGCTTATGATACATAATGATATATGTTTAGAAACAATTTTTTCCAATTATCGTGCCATATGCTACATTAATAAATTATATATATGGATATATGTATATATATACATATATCCATATATATATATGGATATAGGCCGAATAATATTCCATTTATGTATACAGCGAAAAGGAAACCTACCGAAGGGGAGGAAATATTTGCAAACCATTTATCTGATAAGGGGTTGATATCCAAAATACATAGGGCATTCCCTATAATATCCATATCTATATATGGATATATGTATATATATACATATATCCATATATATGAATACTGATATATATATATCAGTATTATCATTAGGAGAAAACAGTGTGCTTTGTACAAAGTAGATAGTTTTCTTAGAATGTGTTATTTAATGGACTGATTGAAAGTACCAATTTTTTAAAAATAGTCTATTCATTTTATAACAATAATCAACAAAGAAAGAAGAAAGGTTAGAACAACTTTTTGATTCCTCATAATTTCAGGTATGGGCAGTTTGCATATTGGGGAAACCCATAACATAATTTTGAGCATTTTAAAAATAAAATTCTTATTTAAATTTCCACAAAGATCACTGAATATTGCAAATATTGACTAGAAATTGCTCTCTTGAGCGAGGCCTTTATTTTACCATAAGATTCTGTTTCTGTTGTCATGTTTTTTGTAAGTTTTTACACTGGACTTAAAGACAGAGGGAAAATTTTGAATTTCCCTGTTTGAGTGGTTAAAGTCAAACTAGAATATTCAAGTTCAAAAAAACCCCCCAAAAACACGCTAGCTTGGTATTTGAATTATCTAACTTGATTTTCTGTACCAGTTCAATAAAGTAAGCAGATCAGCCCTATATTTGTGGTACAGAATTACAATTTTATGTGACCTAAGTGATGATAACTCTCAGTTAATCAAAAGTTGGGCAATTCCAGAACTTGTGGCAGAAGAGGAACTCGACTTAGCAGCACCACTGCTTTACCGTGAATTTGTACATACTTGTTTTCTTGGTAAACATGGTCAGTGGGCTCTTTGTTAACTTCACTGTGGGGAGAGATGCCACCACTGGTTTTTCCTTCTCTGCTGTCTCTGTGGCCTGGATAGACCCTGATATGAATCATACAGTATCAAGTGTAGATGAAAAGCACAGTGGAAACCACAAAATAGTTGCCTTGCTTTATACTGACTGCACAAGGCCTATAATAGAAGATTGCAGACTACAAAATTGAAGCTCTATTTTTTTTTTTTTTCTGTTGGAAATTCTTCCAGTCGGCTGTGAAAGTAACTTCACCATTTAACCAGCAGTGGTTCTCATAAACACATGGCAGGTGGGAATGTATTATTTAATTTCCTTCGCTCCTTTGGCATTGGCAAGCTTTTCAGTTTCTCAAATCCCTTCACTGCAGACTTACTTCCTACTTGTTTCCAACCCTACGCTCAATTTTATTCACTTCTCAGTCACTAGAAATTGAGAAGAGATTTTTGAAGCTAAAGACTTCGTTTTATCTGCTTCTATTGGTGTCCTTCTCCACATCCCCCAGGTCCTGAGACGGTGCATGACACTTTGGGTGAATGAACGGATGAGTGGCTGGATAACTCTGAGAGGGAACTCTGTGTAGCCTCAAAGCCATGATAAATGTTCTCTTGCAGCCTTCTTTCTTCCTTCAAGCAATGTCAGCTTCCTCCTTTTAAACTCTCCTCCTAGACTCTGTTTTTAACCCCTTGGATCATTCTCTGTGTTTCTTCCTGAAGTTTCTCCAAGTTAGGGAAAAGGTGCACACTCTGTCTATCAAAACGTTTCAAAAAATTTTAAGACCAAAGTGAATGTCGTGGTTTCTGGTTGAACCTTTCTGGCACAGGTCCACTCTCCAAGCAAGAGGATCACCTAAGACTTTGCCAAAGTAAAGGCTCCTTGACGTTGAATTCAGGACAATGAAATTTCCTGTAAATACGTTCAGTTTTCCTGTAAATACATTAATCTAACTAAAGAAGATTTACCATTAATCCATTAGGGATTGTAAAAAAAAAAAAAAAAAAAAAAAGTATAATCTTGACTCCTATGGTAGTTTTATCCAAAGCTAAACTTTGCTGTATCATTAACATTAACCATAACTATTTTATGTATTGCACTAAAACTCAGGAAACTAAGATTTTTATCCTCTCTGCTGCATCTTCTCTGTTCCATCATTATCGAACAGGGAATTTGCCATTATTTGAACCCCTGCCACAGGTTCCTGATGCTTATGGGTATGTACTTGGCTTACTAACTTCCAGCCCTTGAGTTAGATTCCACTGCCTCTGAAATGGTCCTTTTTTTAAACACCAAGACAGTTATCTGTCCCAGCCAGATGAAGGCAAAGCCACTGAGGCTGGGGACAAGGGGAAAAACCCATGACAAGTGAGTGTTCTAGTTTTGCCCCTCTGGGAGTAATAGGCCTTAGGAAACAAGATAAGGTGCTGAAGTCATGATGACTCTTAAGCCCAGCAGATTTTCAGAAGCCACAGTCAGCACTGTGACCTGTGAATAACAGTGAATGGAAACCAGGATGCCACCTTCTAAAAATAGGTCTCTTCTTACTCATGTAAGTATTGGCTCCTGGTGTTGACCCCCCAGTGATCAGGAAACCTCCAGGCTGATGATTTCTTGTTCACCATCAGATGAAGTGCAAATTCCTAAAGTTTTCATTTGATTAAAGATGACCATGGGAAGTATTTGCCTGCATGATGGATGAGGCCTGCCAGGGTTCTCATCTCCAGATCCTAGGAATGGAAAGGACTCGAACTGGGTATGTCAGCCCACTCCTTTTCGCCCAGACCCCCATCAGGCCAGCATCCCCCTGAAGTGCCTGGGGAGTGAGTTTTTTTTAAGAGAGATTTCCCCACACTTACCCACTGGCCGGGACGGCCTTACCTTCTAGGGCAACGAGGTGGGGGGGGGGGGGGGGACGGGAACCTCCAAATAACCAATAGCCTTTCACTTCTCCTTACAGTTATACATAATATAGAGGGAAACCCAAGTTTCCCTTAGGCTCTAGGTCCTAAGAAAATCTTTGTATTCAGGAGACGTAAAAGTGTTAACCTCAAGGGAAGAATACTATTTTAAGATACCTTTTTTCCTATTCTATTCCTATTCTCTACTCTTTAAACTCTCAGGATTTCTGTTTCCTAATCAGAAGAGTGAAGATTTCCTAAGCAAGATCTAAGCCTCCTGACAGCCTCAATATTCTATTATTATAATTTCCCTTGCTATAATCTGCATTTAACCTTTCCAATCTCCATGAAAGTTTTTGTTCCCTCTAATTTCTCTCTATTGACACCCATAAACACTCTTAAGATATTTCTGACTGTCAAATTCCAATCATTCCCCAAGTATATCATAGAAACTTCTAACATGTTCTCTTCCTTTACTTTCCTCAGTGGCTTTTATCTTCTAACATAGTGCATAATTCACTTTTTAAAAAAATCTTTGCAAAAAAAAAAATAACAAAATCTTTGCTCTAGTATGTAAATCCTATGAAAAGAGGGATTTTTGTCAGTTTCATACCCTGATCCTACATCCCAGTATGTAAAAGAATAAATGCTACTAATTATCCACAACATGTCATCACGTCATGTTGGTTTCCCATTCATCCTATTGCCCAAGGCTGCATTGCAATGCACATAGCGACACTGCAACCAGTGAACTTCTGGCAATTAATTTTTGCCTCCCAAGTTTATACAGAGCATTGTTTGAAATGATGCTAGGTGTTGTATGTATGTTCAGTAATGATTAAGTTCAGAATTTGACTTTCACTTGTAATCATAGGCTGCTATGTAAAACTTCCTTCATATGGGTACAGGCTTCTAAATTCAACTCAAATAGACTTGGAAATTTGAGACTTTTTTATTAGCATGGATATGTTTGGTCCATTAAACATTTTTACCGAATCCTCTTGTAATTAGCTAAGTTTCATATATATAATCTTGAAAATTTAGACAGCATTTATTTTAATTTAATTTAATTTAATTTATTTGAGAGAGAGAGCACGCACGCACAAAGGAGCAGGGGGGGGGGAAGGGAGAGGGAGAAACAGACTCCTCGCTGAGTGTGGAGTGCACAGTCCGATGTGGGACTCTATCCCGGAACCCTGAGGTTCTGAGCCCAAGTCAGACACTTAATGGCCTGAGCCACCCAGGAGGCCCTAGACAGCATTTATCTTTATCCTTAAATGTCCAAACATTATTAGAACAAAACTTACCTTTCCTATTACCTTTTGTTTCTATTAGAATACTTCTGTATATGTAACAGTTATATACAATGTGTTATAGGAATTACTGCGCTGTGACTTTAATCACCTACCCAGCATGAAAACGAACCAGACAGGTCGAGTGCTATCTTTGTGCTTACTCTTTATAATAATTGGTTCTCAGTTTTGAAGATCCTATCTGGTTCTCTCTTAAATGTCAAATTTCCACTTCTCTTTTTGTCTTGATGTGGGAATTCCCAACCTCTTGATAACTGCTATAGTTATTATTATTTTATTTTGTAACACCAGCCTTTTTACCCAGGTGGCATTTAAGAATAATTAAGTTGAAATTAATTATAGTTTGAGACTTGTGTGACATTTCTGAAAATAATTGATGACAACTCAGAATTCTGCCAAACCACAACCAAGAATCACTTCTTTAGTTTATGTTTGCCAAAAAAGGAAATTTTCTTGCTCTGTAATGAGGCGTGATCGAAAAGGAAAAAGCAGACAGGGAAGGGAAGCGACATCCGTGGAGTGCTCACTGCGTTCTTAGCGTTCTATCAGATGTTTTCACATATATCAAATTCTTGAATCTTCTGAACCACCCGCCATCATGTGAAAGTGGTCCCATTTTCAGAGGAGGCAATCAGAACTT